TCGCCTGTGGTTTTGTCATTAACTCGCTTACACATGCACATGCGGAAGCTGCTCAGTGGAAACTGTGGTTGGTAAAGGCCTAATGTTCAAAGCTGATTTAAATCAGCTAGCCTTAACACCCCAACATTTTTCTGAGTAGCAGAACTTAGAAATGAGAAATTAACCAACCAAAACGCACAGAACTGCCTCCATCACAAACAGATTACCAGCTTGGGTGATAGTTGGAAGAAAAAAAGCAACTTTTGAATGAGAGGTGAACGGAAAGCGCACGTTTCTGAGCTCTTCGGCCTCTTTATGATCGGGAACTTGCAGCTTGAGTCAAACAGCAGCAGCAATGTGCTGTTATAGTGATGTCGGTTTATGTCCTTTCTGGTTTGATAATTAACTCATGCACCTTTTGCAGGACACATATGACCTCACACAAAACCACAACACCATATTTGATATTAATGGCCAGTCTGTTTGTCCTGAATATAACCAGGATAAAGACGTAAATAGTAAAGATGTTATTTGAGGGTCATTGTAGCTGAGTTCTGTTGAGGTCTGTTCATGAACAGCCTAGTAAAGTTGCGTCCTTCAGTAGACGCAATTAGTTTAAGAAATATGTGATGCATTACGAACTTGTTTCCCTTAGCTTGTTCACCCATGTTCTGCTTTCTCTTTATTTGAAGTGATACTTTGGGTTTGTTTTTAATTTCAAATGCTTTTTTAGTCCGACTCTTTAATAGGGTCAGGGCTCTTGTGACAAAGAAGGGCACTTAATTGTATTGAACGTACTCTTTTAGTGTACTTCAAATCTATATATTCAAAAGTATATTTTCAAAAAACTATACTTGTGGATAATATAATACACTTATTTCGATGTGTTGACTAACATACTATAATATTACAGTAACTTCCATAGTTTTTGTTTCTCCATACTATGGAAGTCAACGAGGCCCATCTAGTGTCTGGTTACCCATATTCTTCAAAATTTCTTCTTTTGTGTTCAGCGGAATAAAGAAATTCATACAGGTTTGGAAGTTGAGGGTGAGTAAATGATGACAGAATTTTCATTTCTGGGTGAACTATCCCTTAGTATAGGCGTATTCTTTTAACCCTGGTTTCACAGACAAGGATTAAGCAGTCCCAGACTAAAATGCATGTTGGAGCTGTTTTAACAGAAAGCAACTTGCACTTCTTAAAATATATCAGCTCCATTGTTTTGTCTCAAGATGCACACCGCCGATAATGTTTTTTTTTCTAAGGCACGTTTATAAAAGCTACTTAATTGTCCTAATTGAACTAAGGCTTAATCCTGGCTTAATCTAAGCCCTGTCTGTGACACCAGGCTTTAAAGTATATTATTTCTGAACTAAACGTATGCTTAAGTGTCCTTCTTTTTCACAAGAGGGGTGATAGTACTTCAGGCCTTTAGTCAGTTTGTTTCCCTTTTAACCTGCTTAATTGCTGGCTTAATCACAAGTACATTTCCTTCTTCCGTCTCAGGATCCGATAACCGATCATTCCCGGAGGAAATTTTCAGATTTGCCTTTCGACAGTGTCGCCCATTCCATCCAAAGAATGTTTTGTCCCTCAAAGGCCCAGAGTTCAGACGAACCACCTCCACTTATCCCATAGGAGCGTGATGAGGAGACTACAGAACTACAGGTCTTTCCATTTAACCACACACATGCAAATTATGAGATATGTCAGTTCCACCTTCCTTCTCATTGTTTTTTGTTTTCTCTCCCAGAAACATACTGTAGCCTATAGCAAACTGCCAGAACATACCGCAAGCTTATGTACTTCAGCAGGCAAACAGCCAATAGAGAAATGTCAAATGTAACTGTAAAGAGTGTTTTTTTAGTGTCGTTTTACATGAGGAGATTGATCCTCTGAGGAGGAAGCTAAATATTAAAATGTGTCCTCTGATATTGATATGTTCTGTAACTACGGAAGTAGCAGTATAGATAAAGCCTGGTTTTATTTCAAAGAAACATGGGGGTTCCTCAAACACATGTGACTGCGTTTAAATAAAACATGTAGCCTTATTCGAATCTGACAGTTACTGCTTCATACATTATAAATTGATCCAAATAAAGAATTTAGAAAAAGAATAAACAACAACGATTATTTGATGGCATTTAAGTCTGACTGAACCAGTCAGATATCAAAAGAAGAGAAGAGACCATAGGCACCAGGGACTATTTGCATAAACATAAGTTAAGACTGTAGCAAATAGTTATGGCTTTAGTTCTACCTTTCGGATTCAAATGAGACCAATCTATATTCTTATACAGTCGTCAAATAAATTAGAGACTAACTTGCAATAGTCAGTCGAAGCAACTATAGGCCACATATTCTAGTTTACAGAGAAACGGCAAAAACAGTCCGGAAAAGTATCGAGTAGCTTATGACAATCAACATTAAGGTAGGCCTATATAAGATATAAAATATATTATTTCATATTAAATGCTAGGCATATTGGGTCTATTTAGCCTAATTAAGCTAGGTATGAAAAAAGATCGTTTAAAAAAACGAAAATGGGAAATTCAAAGAAAAGGATACACGTTAGAAAAAGTAGGCTAAACAAAAAAAAATAAAGATATAAAATCTAAATAAATAATAAAATGAGGTAAAATGATCAAATATATTTAAAGCGAACTCACCACTTCAGTCGCAATCCAGTCAAAAGGTATTTTCTTTATTCACAAAGTTTCTCCAATGAAGAGATGTAGAAATGAGTCGCTTCACACCGGCTATTCCATCAGTGATGCGCTTCAGTGCCTCAGTTAGTGAGACTGTCACTGTCGCGCTGTCACTCACTGTCCGAAAGGAAGTTAGCGGCCGCGCCTCAAATACTACTGAGATGCCTGCGTAGACAACAAGCGTAGGGTATCAGGCGTGTTCCGAGTGAGCTCAAGCTGCTCAACTCATCCATACACACTGAGCCCACCAGACTCATAGCGAGTTTATGACGGCCGGAATGCCGCAAGCGCCGATTTTAACTAGAATGCTGTCTAGGTAGGGAGCTAAGTAAATATTTAGACACATTCTGTAGTCAGAGGAAATCTGTCATGAATATTCCGCTTCAATATCCGCATGCCCTATTCACGCAATTGTCTTTTGTACAACACTGCGAAACAAGTTGCAAAAAAGTTGTTCAAAATTATTTTGTAATGTCACTGACAAAAACACCCCAGTAAGCACTGTTCACTCGGCCAAATATCATTTCAATTGAGGCACAAATAATGAGTTTTACATATGTGATTTATTTATATAGGCTATATATATATTTACACACTACACATACACTGTGTGTGTTCATGTTTATATTACATTGTGGGGACCAAATGTCCCCACAAGTATAGTAAAACCTGAAATCACCTACATTGTGGGGACCAGCCAGCGGTCCCCATGAGGAAAACAGCGTATAAATCATACTAAGTATTGTTTTTTGAAAATGTAAAAATGCAGAAAGTTGTGTGTGATGGGTAGGTTTAGGGGTAGGGTTAGTGTAAGGGGACAGAATATACAGTTTGTACAGTATAAAAACCATTACGCCTATGGAGAGTCCCCACAAAGATGTGTGCGCCTGTTTGTGTGTTTAAAATAATTATAATATGGGCAGATTTAGACCATGTTTGCTTGTCAGATCTGTGTGAATCTATTAGTACACAAACAGAGATAGAGAGATGTATTATTGGATTGGAAATAGAAACAGTTGGTCTGGCCTCAGTTACATAATGACTTTGAAAAACAGTGAGCCTCTAATAATCCCCTATCAGATGGTGGGATTAAACACACTCTTCTTTTGAAAGAGACCAAGAAAGAGAGACATAAAAACAAGGGAATACATAAATCTACCTATTCTGTAATAATAAATACTAACATGCACTAAAGTCAAAATACTTTGTCTTACAGGTCCAAAAAAATCCTAAATATGCAAATATTCCTAAAAGAAAGAGTAAACCGGGACACCTAGGTAAGGCATGTGCATAGATCACATTTACAAATAAAACATTCATATTCAAATTTGAAACCTTCACAGAAATTTCACAGGCTTTTATTGGGATTTTTACCTTTGTGATTATACTCCTTTCAGTATAGTAAACAAGCTAAATGTTGTGGTAATTGGCATGTTAAAGTGAAAATTATAACTTGTTCCAATGACGGAAAGCAAGCATGTTCTTCACGGTGAAACGTGCAGCACTGTAGGTGTTTCCCACATCCTAAACCATTTACAGGATGATAGTTCGCACGGTATGACCACAGCCATTGATCAAAAGAAAAAAAAGATGTCTATGGAAACCTTGGTGAGCCATCAAAATACCTTTATTTATGTGTTTTAACAACAAATTGTAGCATAACTAATATCTCCAAAATAGTTTCACCTCAGATAAAAGCAAAAGGTATAAGACTAGCTTAAAGTAATGGTACAGAAAGTTTTAAAAAAAAACGTATACTTTGTTCTTCACAGTTTTACCTTCCTCCTTTTACACTCTGAAAGCTTTTACAGCTGCAAGTGGAAAATTCACTATTACAAAATATATGCTTGACATCTCAAAAAAAAAAACCAAAAGGGGAAGCCGAGGGTTTTTCATTTTGTCACATCTACAAGAAGCAGGCCATGGTGCTCAGACAGACAAAAATAGATGAGATGTGACAGCTCTCGTACGGAAGAGAGAATGAACACAAACTCAGGGTAGTCATGAGAATTGTATAAACACAAGAAAGCAAGCAATTATATGTACATTATTAATAACTCATGGTATAAATGAAGAAAGAGGAAACCGGCAAAATAAAAATAAAACAATCTAGCTGATAAATTTAACGACAGCCCCCTTGACAGCTGGCTTCCTGTTGTAGTACAGTTAAATATTACTGGATAATCTACCCTTTGAAGGAACATTTTCTGTATTTGAGGCTTATATACGGTACACAAACTATTTGCACACAATAATAATATTTCTAATTGAATTGCAGTGTGCACTGCATGCATGTTTGACACATGAGAATTATGTTGATAGATGTGCAGTTAAAGTCTAGAGTTGTTTTTTTTCTGGGAAACTAAAGTGAACGCCAGTGATTTGGACTTGGAGGCTGGTGATGAAGGGTGAAATAAAATGGCTGGCTTAATAACCACAGTAAATGAATTGTAGTAGAATCCATTGCCTGTAAAAAAAAAAAAATTATTATATGAAGCAAACTGAAAAAGAAAACACTGTTCATGAAAATACTAAGGGCAGACAATTTGCATAAAACATGGAAACAAATAAAAAGAGACCTTCATCCTTGATCTGGGGCTGCATGGTTTCCTTGAGGTCCTCTGCTCAGCCGTATTTTCTTCTCCTTTAGCGAGCGCAGGAAAAGAGCTAAGACGGAACAATGAGTCGAAAGTGAAATTTCAGAAGAAGCTTAATGTATTCATTGAATGAATAAAAGATGACCTCTCACCATCAGTGTCCTGCCCAGGTCTTTTTCTGCTTGTTTCCAGGTTGTTGTTGTTCTCCTTCTCCTCTTGCTCCATTGGTCTGCTCCCAAGATCAGTGATCTTCAAAAAAGATCAGTGACCACAAAAAAAAGTCACAACTGATCTCATAATATCAGAAAACCTCAAGTAAAGCTGCATGCCATATAATGACATAACATTAATTCAATGCTGAGTTTACCTGTCCTCCAGCTTTAAGCGGCTCCATAACCACAACTGGAGAGAAAAACAGATCCATTAAACACAGTCGAATGAAACTTAAACTGGCCAATGAGAGTGAAGCTTTACCTGGTTGGAGGGAAAGGGTTAGTGATGGGATTTTCTTGATCTCTGAGCTGAAAGAGGTTTCAGCGGCTTGAGATGTTTCACCTTCCTTTACCTCTTCCTGTTCTTTACATCTTTCCTGTGCTTCCTCCTGCTGTGTAAACATCACAGTCTGATTTATTTTTATACTCATTAATACAAACATATATGGAGACCTGCACATGACATTTAAAGAAGAAAAAAAAGATTAAACAAAATTATTTGTTCCCAAAAATAATGAATTTGTTCATTTTAGGCAAATTGTGGCCATGTTAAATTAAAACATCATGGCTACAAATCGGTGGACATGTTTGAACTAAAATGGGGGAACAGATTAATAAAATGTGGCTTCTAATTTTTAATTTGTGGTGACAATATAAATGTTTTTTTTTCCTATATTTCATGTGCGGGGCTCCATGAACAAGCACAGCTTGTTAATATTGAGTAACTGACATTTTAGAAATTTAGTTTATTTGTTCTGAATAGTTCTAAACCAAGCCAAAGCAGAAGTAACCTTTTCATGTTAGCGAGCAGGGACCACTAGTTGTGCAAGATCCTATATATGCCCCTTCCTCAATGCTAGATACAGTGAGTTACTGCCATCTTGTTCTAGCTAATTGAAGCAGCTTTTCTTAACCAGTTAGCACTGTGCTAAGCTGTTAGGCTACGGTGTTAGCTTGCTTCCAGAAAGAAAACTGAAGACCCAAAGAAAGAGAAACGTTTCATGTGGTTTAGCTGAGCTAAGCAGGCAAAGACAGAAACTGTAAAAAGAAAAAAGAAATGTTGAACTTCACAATCTTTAGCTTTGGTAATATAATGTGATGTGCTATTTATAATTATGTTTGTTCAAGTATAATGAACTTTTTCATTATTTAAAAATCATGTTACCATGATACTCAATCATTTTTAATCAGGCTCAGCCAATGGAATGGCTTTATTGAGGAGGTTTTTATGCATCATTTGAAGTCTACCTGTGTATTATTATCTGCTGTCAGCTGGTCACTTTGAGGGCTCGATGGACATTGAGACGACGATGAAAGTGTAGCAGGTGGTGAGGAAGACAGAGACGAAGATGCATCGCTCTGTGAGTGCGTCTTCTCTTTCTCTTGGCTTTTTGAGCGTCCTGACTCGGACAGGTCCAGCGGCGCTTCCTCTTCCTCCTCTCTTAAATTCTCGCCAAAAATCCTCTCTGACTGGGGCGGCGCTATAACGACTTCTGTCGCTTTCTTTTCGCTACTCTCTACATGCTCCGAGAGGTTTCTGCGGGACAAGGGCCGCGGGCCGCCAGGCGTTGAGCCGTGCATGCGAGACTGGAGGGCGCTGCTTGGTAGGACCAGTTTAGGGAAACGTAGTATGCTTGAGCTTAAAAATGGGCTCTGGCTTGAATTAACCGCTATCCCACTACTAACACCAGAGCCGGCTGCTTCTACTGTTACCCAGTCAGTGGATTCAGAGAGTGGCCATGGGATAGACAGGCCACCAGTCTTGATCGGAAGCGGCCGGTAGGGGACGGGAGCGTGGATTTGTTGCCGGCAACTACGTTCCTCAGAGGCAGCAGAAGAAAAAATGGAATTGTTCTTCGGTAGTCTAAGAGGAGATGCGACAGGAGGAGACAAAGGGGAATGTCGGTGCTCCACCAAGTCCACGCTGGAAGGTCTGTGGACACATGAGGAGAAGCATTAACATGGGTCACACTATTTTGTCTGTTTTCAGTGTCAACGCGTCCGTTTCGTCTGCCTGTCTCACCTCCTGTCAGTGCCGTGTTCGTTCCCCCATCTCACGGGGCCTGAGGTGGGCAACATGGTCTTATTAGATTCCTGAGAGAAACACACATTTCAGCAAACAATGAGACAAGAGTTTCGATGAAACAAGCAACTCGAAACAGCAAAAACAGTATTTAAAGAACAAATTATTGCTTACAAATGAAAACGCCTTGCCCCAGCGTTGCATGAATCTGAGTTCAGATGATTTTTCTGAATAGAAAAAGGATATTACAGATGTTTTCATTAGTACAGTTGGGAACATGCAAGGAATGTTTGCCAGTACCAGGAAACTTCCTACACTGTATATACAGTCAAACCAAAATGTATTCTTCAACATTTCACACATTATCACAGTTTATTCGCTATAGTTTTCGAAAATGGTAATAATATATGACAAGAACGCAGAGTTATCAAATCAATTGATATTTTACTGGTTTTGGCCATCCTTCTGTTACACTGTCTCACAAATGAATTAGGTTGAATAGCTGTCAGATGTTAAATTTAAGTACACAATTAGATAATACCAATTTAGGTCAACCAATTACAGAGCAATGCTTAATTTTGTTCAGTCTGTGGATATAAAAAGGTCGCATCTGCAATTAAAGAAAAAACACTTAAGCAAAACATGGTCAGCTCAAAGTGTCTGAATCATTTTCGGTCCCAAAAAGATTTACTAAGAATAGTAATGTTTCCAAACTTTTGACCGGTACTGTATAGTATATAGCATTGGGTTTTCATATATTTCAGAAATCATTGTTTACTGTGACTTACCCTGACTGTCGGTCGGGCTGTTGACCATCTCTCGTTTGACAGTCGCTACAGGTACAGTGGCGTCCCCTGGTGGAGGTTTGCTGGACTTCAGCCCTGAGGTCAGGTGAGCCACAGCAGCCGCTGCTGTGTCAGGTGACATCTTGATCTCTGGGGTGATTGTGTCCTCTGAATGACCATTCTGCCGACTGAAAGGTAAAGGAGGAAGTTTGTATTTTCATGCATGACTATTATATGCAATGCATGATCGCAAGCCAAAGTGACCATTTGGTGCAGACCGCAATATGTTGGCCAATGTCACATAACTACAGTTACAGTAAATCAGATTGTGCCACTGTGTGACAGGACCTGACCTTTTCCATGATAAACAACAGGAAATGCTTGCACACAAATTTCAAGAAAGCATGCCAAGAACTTACTTCGATAGCTCCCTCATGCCCTTCAGCTCCTCTCTCAGTCTGTCATTTTCTTTCTTTAGAGCATTCATCTCACTCACTGCAGCAGTGAACAAACAGGAATAGCTTTAATATTCATATATTTCACTTCAAAAAATTATTCAGACACCAGATATCAGTTTTGATATTTTTTTTTACTAGTGGGTGCAGGACACTATAGTTAATTTATGTAAGTGAGGATAGCAAAATAAAGTAAACTGTGACATATTATACCCAGAAATTCTTACCAGTAAAATGTATACAAATTTGGGGCCAAAAATGATTCAGACACTTTGAGCTGACCATGTTTTGCTTAAGTGTTTTTTCTTTAATTGCCGATGCGACCTTTTTACACCACAGACTGAACAAAATTAAGCATAGCGGGTAATTGGTTGACCTAAATTGGTATTATCTAATTGTGTACTTAAATTTAACAGCTGACAGCTATTCAACCTAATTCATTTGTGAGACAGACTAACCGGAAGGATGGCCAAAACCAGTGAAATATCAACTGATTTGATAACTCTTGAGTTCTTGTCATATTTTATTACCATTTTCTCAACTGTAGCGAATAAATTGATAATGTGAGAAATGTTGAAGGTGTGTGAATACATTTTGGTTTGACTGTATATACAGTTGGGCCCAAAAGTCTGACCTTTTGTGCAAAAGGAATTAACATGGTCAATGCAGTGTTATTTTAGTATTGCAGTAGTACATTTTAAGTCCTTTGACAAACTTCAACTCCTTTTTCATATAATATTTATGTCTGATTTTTATTTCACGAAACGTTTGAATAGTTTTAGTTAACAATAACAACACTGGGTCAATGACACTATTTCTTCTTCACATAAAGGCTCTATTTATAGCTCACCCAGTAAAGAGATGTGCTGTAGACTCTGGAGCTGAGAGTTTTCATACTCCTGTTGTCTTTTTTTAGCCACGTCCTGAGTGACTGTACACCTGTCACACAACCCGGCCCGCAACCTGAGGATCGACAAGACACGTCCAGTGTGGGCAGCGGTATGTGAGATTACATTTACGAATGAACCCTCACAAACCTGTTCTCCAGCTGTTTGATGTTCTCAGTGAGAATCCGCTGCTGTTCTCTCATCTGCTGGTTCCTGTTGTAAAGTTCTTCCATGCGCTTTGTATCGCTACAACAGTACGCACATAAAACATTAATGACATGGACGTCAAATTGATGTCAATCGATTTTAGCTTGAAAAATATGGTATTCACACTCACATATTCTTTTTAGTTGACAGCTCCATTACTTTCTCCTGCCACACTGTAGAGAGAGAGAAACATAAATAGTGAATCTGGACAACTGGAGTGTGAAGCTCTGGATGGCACAAAGCGAAGCAGTGGAGGCAGTAAAGATTTTACAAGTACTTAAATATCATGTTCAGGTCCTTTGTATTTGCTTTTCTTTCTTTTTTTTTAACACTTTTTAGGCATTAATGTGAGTCACAATGTGAATTCACCCCACCATTATTCATTAAACTATCTCCTTTTGTGTTCAAAAAAGTTAAAAACAAGTGCCAATTTCATACTAAGCAATGTTGCAGATTTATTAAAGAGTTTGCGAGCTCATAGCATGCATTGCAGAATGAATCAATTATGTTTATTGCTTCTCTGTTTTTTTGCAAATATTGTTGTGTTTTCGTTTGCTGTTGTATTGCTCTCTATAAAACTAATTGCGTTAGTTACTTTTTATGGAAAGTAATTTTACGTTACTTTTGCGTGCCTTTTTCTCATCTGGGCTGGGCTTGCTTGTTTGTTTTTCAACAACAACAACAACAACAACAACAACAGAAAATCTATTTTTAGCAAATGTAAAGACCCTATCAGACCAAAAGTGAAATGAACAAGCCTCAGGCTGAAGGAAATGCAAATTCACGGCTGTACAGTAGATGGCGCAGCTCAAACAAACCAAAATAAGCTGTGCTGCTATTCTGGATTAAAGAAGAATATGAGGCAGGAGAAGAAAGTTCAAAACTCTTACTTCAGCAACAAAACAAAAAACAAAAGAATTAAACAAATGTGATGTAGTTAATTCTGCTTATAAGTAGGCCTATGGTTGAAGTGGATCATCGAAGGTCAGCAGCAAAGACATTGGTTACTAAAGTGAGATTCACGAGTTCACACATAGCCTACAATTTGAGGGAGTAAAGTTGAATGCGTATTTGGCGTGCTGTCCGAGGGAAGGGCTCCAAGCTCTGAGTTCGGAACGAACCCAGAGTACTTCCCCCGTATGTAAATGGTTAGGACTAGAAGAGTGGAGAAGGGGTGGTGGAGGGATGCTGCAAAACTGTCAATGGATTGAAGTGAGACTGCTGAGGCTATGTTTACACGGAAACGATCTGAAGAAAAAACGCAAAAGTGGCGTTGCGTTATCACTTTTTATTCTGCGTTTAGACGAGCGTTATGGTTGGGAAATCTGCGTGCATATGGTGACGCAAAAGTGTGTGAAATTAGATGTAGTATGCACTCCAGGCAGCTAGGTGGCAATGTGAAGCACTGCCACACAACAACACCATATCTTAGAATATTTTGTACAACTGTTGAAAAGACTCATGTTTTTCAGAGCTGCTAGGTCAAATTGAAGGTCCGACGAATGGAAATAATCTGACATGTTGGTTGTTATTTTCCTGTACTGGTGCATGCATGTGACGTAAACGCGTACGCGACGAGAGCCACCGTGAGCAGATTTGCGTTTTTACCGTTTAGACGGGAACGCGATGGTGGAGCGTTTTTAAGATTTCCACTCTGGAGGGTGGTTTCACTTTTTAGCGTTTTTAAGCCCCCAAAACGCCGTTGCCGTGTAAACGAAAGGCACATCCGAAAAAATATTTTCACGTTTTCACCCGGAATCGTTCTCGTGTAAACGGGGCCTGAATATATCGTTGATTGCTGAGTGCTCTCCACCCGTGTTAATTATCTGAACGTGCTCCTCCCGAACTTTGTTAATAAAACATCATTTAAATACATAAAGTAGCTATATTTATGTAATTGAACATATTTAATTATTGCAGGTTCGCGTAACAGTTTGCAGTCACATTTTTTTATTAATTTTGAGGAACACTGGATCTGTTTTTTATGGCAGCAAATCGTTAGGCTTGTTTGAGATGAGCAAAATCTGCGCAGAACCGATCACCGGTGATCTAATTCCGGTTAGAAATGTGTCTCTGATGTCATGCTGACGTATGTCAAAAAAACTCTCGCGACGCAAGGCGCACGTGTCAGATTATGCAGTCGCGCGCAGCTGCTCTCCACCATAGACATAATAAATACATAGACGCCCTATAGACCAATTTTCAGTTGGTAAACATGGTGACGTTTTTATGTGGGCGGAGCTTAAGTGGTGGCAGAACGATCCCTCTGGCCGCTTCACTAACGTAAAGTCTGCAAGTTTTGTTAGCTTGTTTTTAACAATGACTGGAGAAAATCCGATTTTATCTTAATGTGCAAGGTCACTCACTGTCCAGGACCGCGATTGTTATTTGCAAAAGTTAATTTTAACGGACGGAACCAGATTGGCCGACCCGTACACTCATTGAGGATCTGACAGGATTAACGTTAACGCTACCTCCGGTTGAGTGGCCTGACTTCTACACCTCAGTTACCTGATAGAGAAACGGAGAGCATATAAATCTTTAGATGCCTATAACTATGTGCTGAATGGTGATGTGCAAGACTTGTGTGTACGATCCGCAGTTCTGCCTAGCCAGCGCAAAGACGACAATGTAAAGAGTGACATTACGGTGCAATTTTAATGAGGTGAATATTTTCTAGAAATAAAAAATTGCAGATAAAGCATATTAATTTTTCATTGATTCTTGCACCCAACAACACAACAAGATGACATTTAATAATAAGAAGAATAATTTAAGATCCTTATTTTGTAGCCGAATCTGTGCTGGTTTGTATTTGCCGCCTCCAGTTTTCCCTCTGTTCTGCCACCAGCTAGCGCCGTGACGTAACTGTGACGTCGGCTGGAAATTGGTCTATACTGCTCATTTTAAATACATAGGAGTGCTAGAACTAACGAGCCGTAACTTAAGAAAATAACCGTCATTTTTACACGTCTGTTAAAAAATTGCATTGTAAACATCAGTTACAGCTTTAACTTCTTATTAACTTGGCAAATAACCGAGGTATAAGCGGGATAATCCACGGCTAGCCATGCATTAAAGGATTTTAATGCACGACCTAGAGCCTCCGCTTCGCGTCGGGTGGTTCTTCGCCTCTACGTCGTGCATTAAAATCCTTTAATGCATGGCTAGCCGTGGATTATCCCTTACCTATCCTAGTGCGAGATCGTTTACCCCATAGACATAATAAATACATAGACGCCCTATTGGCCGCTTTGGAACGTTGCTGCGATACGTCAACGGGTCCGCCATTTTGCTGAGGGCAAGACTGCACTGTAATCAAATGTAAGTAAACGGGGGAGCTGCGTTTTTTCTGGATAAAAACAAACTGTTTTTACATTTATCAACCGATTTCAGTGGTTTGTATGTGGTGTACAAAAAGTTCCATCTCTAGTTATTTAAAATCTCGATAGTTATGCTTGTAAAATATTTTTTTTAATAAAGAATGGTCGAAGCTCAGGCTTGTCATGTATCTGGCTTTTTATTCTTGGATAAGAATGGTGAAGACACCCATACTGAGATATAAGTTTTCTTATTGTGGAAGTTTTCTTATTTCTGTGATTGACCAGATTTTAGCAATAACAAAGATAACTGATGGATCCTTTATAATAATACGTTATGGTACAACTACAGTGCAATGCAAATAGTAAATATAACATAAAGTGAGAAGTAATAGTAAATAGTTTAGTCAATAAAATAAATAAATAATATACAGCAAATACAATAGTAATGATTAGTATAATTATATAATATCATAAGTACAATAATACAATCATAAAAATATTGATAATAGCATAGTTTATTAATAATACTATAATAATAGCAATAGAATAAGAAATATCAATTACAGAATATACACAATAAAAAATAAGTTAAATAGTGACTTTAATATTTAACTCCACATTACCTAAATTACATAACTCCATTACCTCCACAGCTCGTCCTCCACAGCGGAGCCTGTCGTGAACGCGCTGACTAGTAAACAGGGCCACCGATAACAGCGGATAAAAAGTTATATGGCACATTCACTAATAGGGACTAAACGTCAATAATATGCTTTACATTGACTATGGCCTGCCCATACTTTGACTACAAACTTGGTCCTCAAATCATTATGTATTTTGCAATAGCCTACATGTAACTTTATAACGTTGCACTCTTTCTATAAGTTATAAATAGCTAGTAAGATAACGTTAATATAACGGTAACTAACGTTACAGTATGTAAGTAATTATTCTAGTGATATATAATGCAAGATAAGGTGTGCTAGTACATTATTTCAGCAACATGACAAGCCAGTGAATTAGCAGGTTTCAATTGTTGCTTAGCAGAGTGCGTGACATTTTATCTACATGTTATGCGGCTAGCGTTTTGACACCGAGTCAATGGGCTCTGTGTAATTCTTTCTTTTTCGCTTGTTTATCGTCATCAGTTTTTTTCCTTTTACCTCTTTGTTTTATGAGCAGGTGTCACTCGAGAATTGGCAGTTTAGGTTGTTTCTCCGTCATAAGCACAGCTGCAGCACGCCGGCAATCTTGAGTTTGAACGACGGCTCGCGCTGTGCAAGAGAGGGGTGTGATCAGCGCGTACACGAGCGTGATTGACACTGCTAAGACATTCCTCCTGGCTCTGATTGGTTGTTTCATTTAAATGTAATGCGCCCCAACACTGGATGCATGGAAGCAACCAGAGATGGGTACTCGAGTTATAGAGACTCGGACTCGAGTCGAATTTTAATAGACTTCAGACTTAACTCGGACTCGAACTGAAATGACTTCAGACTTGACTCGGACTCGACCAAAGGACTCGTGAATATTTTAAAAACGACTCAAGTCTTTAATCCTTAACTACTGATATAATAAAAAAAAGAATGTGTTTTATTTGAATGGTTTTATAATATCTGCGTCATATTCCCCTACGTGTCGCGGTAGTTGGACTTCGGACCCTTGTCATAGAATTTGATTATGTATGTCAGTGTATTGCGCGTAACTCCGATATATCACAATGAAAGTCCCATGAAACATGACGGGAGAAACCGTGCCATATGTTCATTTGGGTTTATTAACATGTCAAATCGGCTAGATGCAAAGAATGTGGGAAAACAATTAAAGACACTGACATTACATTTTATGAGACATCGCATCCACAAAGGTTAGTCACATTATAGCCTACTGTGGTGCAGCTGCATGGCTCATTTGGATTGCAAGCCTATTAAAACATTAACATATAAAATCTAGCCTTTAAACCTATAGCACTATGTTTTACTTTTATCGATCTTTTCGAAGTATATGCAGCTTTTCTCTCTCTTTTAATGTCTAAGAGAGAGAGGAGATAGAAGGATTTTAATCCATTTATTACTTAAAGCGCATATCTTAATATCGCAATCAGCATGCGTACAGTTTTCTATTGACTTAAAACATTCCGAGGTTTGATATTTTCAGATAATGACTGTCATTAATAACAACACCGCTGTCTAAAAAACTACTGTACAAACCATGACTGGGGCCATCTTGCGTCCACTAGCGATTGGATTGAAAATAACTACTTGTCTTGTTGCCAGGACGATTGTTTTATGCATTGTAATGGATTAAGTAACAAGCTGGATTTACATTATCCCTTAAATCTTAGGACCTTTATTACAAACAAAACAGATAATAGAAAGATCACATTTTGCCTATATAATAGCCTACAAATAATAGGATTTTTGAGTATGATTTTTTTTTTGTAAGGCATGAAATGACTCGAGACTCGACTCAGACTCGTGACAAAAGACTCCAGACTTGACTCAGACTCCAGTGATAAAGACTTCAGACTTGACTCAGACTCCAGCTTAAAGACTCCAGACTTAACTCAGACTCCAGTGATAAAGACTTCAGACTTGACTCGGACTCCAGCTTAAAGACTCCAGACATGAGTCAGACTCCAGTGATAAAGACTTCAGACTTGACTCGGACTCCAGTGATAAAGACTTCAGACTTTACCCGGACTCCAGCTTAAAGACTCCAGACTTGACTCAGACTCCAGTGGTAAAGACTTCAAACTTGACTCGGACTCCAGATTAAAGACTCCAGACTTGACTCAGACTCCAGTGATAAAGACTCCAGACTTGACTCTGACTCCAGCTTAAAGACTCCAGACTTGACTCAGACTCCAGTGATAAAGATCTCAAACTTGACTCGGACTCCAGCTTAAATACTCCAGAATTGACTCAGACTCCAGTGATAAAGACTTCAGACTTTACTCGGACTCCAGATTAAATACTCCAGACTTAACTCAGACTCTAGTGATAAAGACTTCAGACTTGACTCAGACTCCAGTGATAAAGACTTCAGACTTGAATCGGACTCCAGTTTAAATACTCCAGACTTGACTCAGACTCCAGTGATAAAGACTTCAGACTTTACTCGGACTCCAGCTTAAATACTCTAGACTTGACTCAGACTCCAGTGATAAAAGACTTCAGACTTGAATCGGACTCCAGCTTAAATACTCCAGACTTAACTCAGACTCTAGTGATAAAGACTTCAGACTTGACTCAGACTCCAGTGATAAAGACTTCAGACTTGACTCGGACTCCAGCTTAAATACTCCAGACTTGACTCAGACTCCAGTGATAAAGACTTCAGACTTAAATCGGACTCCAGTTTAAATACTCCAGACTTGACTCAGACTCCAGTGATAAAGACTTCAGACTTTACTCGGACTCCAGCTTAAATACTCCAGACTTGACTCATACTCCAGTGATAAAGACTTCAGACTTGACTCGGACTCCAGCTTAAAGACTCCAGACTTGACTCATACTCCAGTGATAAAGACTTCAGACTTGACTCAGACTCCAGCTTAAAGACTTCAGACTTAACTCGGACTCCAGATGAAAGACTTGTGAACATCTCTGGAAGCAACACTCTCACAGAAGTTACTGTCGAACTAAGAAGCTTTCTATTGGTCTATAATTTGAACACAACCAAAATCTGCGTAGGGCACTTTTTCGCCCTCACATGAAACTCCCAATTGCGTAAAAAATTCCTTTTGCAAAAACTGGATTTCGCAGAGAACTGTAAATGACACCACACCATATCTTTTTTGTAGTGATGTAAAGATGTTTTTACTGTTGATTGTGGCTGTTAAGGAAGTTTGTGAAATGTGCATCTACATTAAACCGAGTTTTTGACCATATTTTGTGTCAGTAATACAGAGATAGTCATGCATGCGTTGGTGGAATCTCAGTCAAGATTGTTCAAGACAAAAAAAGAAGGGTGGTCTTACCCTCTAACTCATGGTCATGGACCTCCCGCAGTTTCTGGAGGAGCTCAGAGAAGCTCTCCACAGCCATGCTGGTCTTCCTACACACCTGCCACTCGTCTTCCTACGGATAGGGATAGGCAGGATTTTTTTTTGTTGAAAACTGTAAACAAGATGCAGATTTGTTCAATCAAATCTTGATTAGAGAACAATTTGTGCCAGTTCACGTTCTGCCGTTGCCCTGGGTGAACTTTGGAATTTCTACACTCATACTATACCAAGGCTATTAAAGGCTGGTCTTGCTAAACCGGTTTTGCAAGGTGAGCACTGTAGGCCTAACTTTATTTGTGTATGCATTTATGAGTGTGTGTAAATGAGAGAGTGAGAGAGTAAGAAATAAGGAGATATGGCTTTTTCACAACATGTGTGTGTGCTAACACTTAAAAAACAAACAGGATCTGGAAGTTTATTTATGACCCATGTAATGCACTGAAGGGTTCAATTCGACAAATACTACACTAACACTAACATCTACATATGACATTCACCTTATTTTTCTTGACCTGTGCTATCTACAAACATCCACTTGTTCGTCTCATAAATGACTGCTTCAAACACCTTTACCAGGGCACTAAAACTAAACGATTCCTGACGATTGTCATGATTGACGTAAAAGCTTAGTCACATAGAATGATTGCAATGCGCTGAAATGTGAATACATAATTGATATATACACTATTGTTCAAAAGATTGGGGTCAGTACATGACCCATCAAAGTGACATTTATAATGCTGCAAAAGATTTCAATTTAAAATAAATGCCGTTTTACTAAACCTTTTTTTATTTATCAAAGAATCCAGAAAAAAAAGTATGGTTTCAAATCTGCATATTAGAATGATTCACTGAAGGATCATGTGACACTGAAGACTGGAGTAATGATGATGAAAATTCACCTTTGCATCACAGGAATAAATTACATTTTAAAATATGTTCAAATTGAAATCAGTTATTTTACATTGTAATAATATTTCAAAATATTAATGTTTTTACTGTATTTTTAATCAAATAAATGCAGCCTCGATGAGACTTTCAGAAACATTAAAAAACTCTACCAACCCCAAACTTTTGAATGGCACTATATATAAATTCTGTGACAGTTAAAACAGACACTCAGTTTAGGCTACAGTAGGCACTGTAAATTATGCCAGATACAAATGTTTTCCTGCACTGTCAATTTTAAGTACAATCAACTTGGAAGTCATTTCAACTTAAATTACATTTAAACATACTTCTTGTATAAGTAATTTTGATGAGTTAAAGCAATGTAAACGCATACGTTGTCATAACTTATTGATCATATCATTTTTTACAGTGAACTTAACTTGTCTTAAAGCTGATGGCAAACGAGCACATTTTCTGAGTGCAGGGTGTTTAATTTCGAATGCAAAGTGGGAAATGTGCTGCAAAGCTTCATATAAACATCTAAATACATTACAATAGCTAATTACATGTTTTCACCCCGTCTGCAAGACTTCTGCCTGCAGAGATACACAGCCTGCTGCTGAGGGCTCTTGAGGGTGTGGTTAATCTCCCCCCCCCCCCCCCCCCCCCTCCTCCACCCTTCCCCCATACAATCGTTTTTGCATTTTGATCTGAGTGATTTTCGGCTGCTCCTTCACTCTCTCTACATGTCAGGATATGTTAGCTAACAGTTGTGAACGTTACAGCAGCGGGAGCAAGAGGGAACCTGTCTCTCAGATCTGCAAACTTCACATTTCACACACACCTACACACACACACACACACACACACACACACTAATGTTTTAAACCCACTGCTTTGCGCTGACTTTGCAAATATGATTACAGATTTTGCAAACACAAACAGGTGATAAAGATTAGATCTGAGCTCTCAGTGCCCTTGACATTTTGGGGTCAGATGTCATACATGCTGTCACTAAAAAGTGGAATATTACATATTACATGTAATTGATCTAAAACATACAAAATCAGTCAGTTAGTCAGCAAGATGTGAAGGTGGATTCTGAGCAGGCCTGGGGCATAATGATAATTTTATCAATGTACATGAGAAAGTATGCTTCTGAAATGGATTGGTGGATCAGGTTTGGCATTACGCAATCCCTGCCTATGATTTAGCTTGTTTTTTGTGTTTTTTTGTCATTTGATGGATGTTTGTGTTGTACATGCTGTTTAATACCACATCAGTTTAATACCACTTGGTATATTACCATGGGCATGACAATATAGGAGAGACAGAGAGAGAGAGAGAGAGAGAGAGAGAGAGAGAGAGAGAGAGAGAGAGAGAGAGAGAGAGAGAGAGAGAGAGAGAGAGAGAGAGAGAGAGAGAGAGAGAGAGAGAGAGAGAGAGAGAGAGAGAGAGAGAGAGAGAGAGAGAGAGAGAGAGAGAGAGAGAAAAGCAAGCAAGTGTAAGAGAGGAAGTTGCAAGCAAATGTTTAACTTGAAAATGTAAACATGTACTGAGGATATGATACAAAGTTAACCGACACATTCTTATTAGCATTCAATTATTACTTTTTAATAGTTTGGTTTAAAAAAAGATTATCGTTTATCATAAAATACCTGTGGTTATTAATATGCTCAATATTCCAGTTAATATAAAAACAGAAAAACACATGAAACACTAATGTTAATAAGAAAAATAGATAGACGCAGATGGAATTAAATGCAATACCATGACCAGATGAATTCATATCACTGATCAAATAAAGAAGAAATATTAAGTCACTCCACCCAACTGAAATAGCTTGAATGGGTGATTGTGTTTAATCTGGAAATGTATGGGTGTGAATTTATGTGTTGCGTTATTGATGACTGATCACATTATGCAATTGCTCAGTACATATCTACCAAAAACACATGACACCTGATCGATACAGTGTGTTCAGGTGAAATGAGTTTCACTCACCCCGTGCCACCTTGTGGACGTGAATCACGTCACCTGCCAATCACGCGATGCTGTCGGTCTCCTCGTCACGCCAGTGTCCTCCGGAGCCCCTCGGAGAGTTACATCGGATGGAAAACTATTGGGAATGAGAAAGACATACAGAGGAAAGGTAAAGAAGAGTTGTTTAATACGCCCTGTGCTCCTCTCCTCCCGCTCCTCCTCCCCACTGACGAGGAGAACAGGTTTGAGCAGTTCCTCTCGGCAGCACACAAACACCAGTTCTCCCCTGGATAAACCGGTCCTGCTGAAATCCCACTAAACCTGCCCGACCACAAAGAAAAAAAAAAAAAAATCCTCAGAAGGATATAGAGAACCTTTAGACACACAAAGCCGCTTTATTCTGCTTTGATTTGCTCTTTCAATCTCAAGGAACCAGAGGCCTTTATTCAGCTTCATTGCAGGGGCATGGGGCAATTGTATGTTTATTTACTACGTACATTCCCTGGTGTCTTTTTAAATCCTCACATTTTATGATAATAATTATCAAACTGAATGATCTTTATCAAGAAGTCATATGTTGCTTTGCAAAACCTTGAAGCAGCATTTGAGGTTCCTCAGATTGCCCACACAGGGCAACCTCCATACGCCCTTTTTAAGGTGAATATTCTTACTGTGCAACTTTAGAAAGTTTAATGTTGGTTTTACTATAGTAGCTAGTGTAAAAACAAAGCAAAGTAACCACACATTTAACCATGGTTTTACTACAGGAACCATTGTTAATTTACACTCACTGGCCACTTTATTAGGTAAACCTGTTGAACTGCTTAACACACATCTAATCAGCCAATCACATGGAAGCAATTCAATTCATTTAGATAGGTTGGGATGATCTGCTGAAGTTGAAACTAAGCAGATGGGGAAGAAATGTGATTTAAGTGACTTTGAACGTGGCATGCTTGTTGGTGGCAGATAGGCTGGTCTGTATTTCAGAAACTTCTGATCTGCTGAGCTTTTCACACACAACCATCTCAAGGGTTTGAAAGAGAAGGGTCAGAGAAAGAGAAAATATCCAGTGAGTGGCATTTCTGTGGGAAGCCAACACACAACACATCAAACCTTGAAGCAGATGGGCATCAGCAGAAGATGGGCATCATGCCACTCCTGTCAGCTAAGAACAGGAAACTAAGGCTACAATTCACACTGACTCACCAAAATTGGACAATAGAAGATTGGAAAAACATTGCCTGGTCTGAGTCTCAATTTCTGCTACAACATTTAGATAGTAGACAGACATTTAGACAGAATTTGGCCTGAACAACATAAAAAAATGAATCCATCCTTCCTTGCGTGTGTGTCATGACAGAAGGACTCCGTCACCTTAAGATCTAGCACAATGGGGGTTCGTATCCTTCCTCCGAACACGGAGAAGGAGAGGAAGGGGCGAGTCCAAAATTTGATGGGCCTACGTCAGCAGGGCCAGCCGGTGGGTTCTCTGGCTCAGACTTTTTGGACTTTTTGGAAAGGTTTGGACTACAATGATTCTGCATTGAAGGATTTTTTTTATTGTCTGCCTTGATGACCCATTACCTGGGTGGGAGATGAAGGGGCTGGAGATTCTGGACTTTTGGGGGTTCACCAGGTACCTTCATCATCGGAGCCAGTGGGATAGGCCAGTTACGCCTGTGTCTCATGATGAGATGGCCGCCATACCCTTGCCGGAGGTTGTAACTCCGAAGGCGGTGGGCTCGATGCCACTGTCTCGCCATCGTAGGAGGAGGAGGAGAGGGGCTGTTCACGTCACGTCTGCCGATCCAGAGACTGTTCACGTCACGTCTACCGATCCGGAGACTGTTCACGTCACGTCTGCCGATCCGGAGACTGTTCACGTCACGTCTGCCGATACGGAGACTGTTCACGTCACGTCTGCCGATCCAGAGACTGTTCACGTCATGTCTGTCGATCCAGAGACTGTTCATGTCACGTCTGCCGATCCAGAGACTGTTCATGTCACGTCTGCCGATCCAGAGACTGTTCACGTCACGTCTACCGATCCAGAGACTGTTCACGTCACGTCTGCCGATCCAGAGACTAGAGACTGTTCACGTCACGTCTGCCGGACCGGAGACTGTTCACGTCACGTCTGCCGGTCCGGAGACTGTTCACGTCACGTCTGCCGATCCAGAGACTGTTCACGTCACGTCTACCGATCCAGAGACTGTTCACGTCACGTCTACCGATCCAGAGACTGTTCACGCCACGTCTGCCGATCCAGAGACTAGAGACTGTTCACGTCACGTCTGCCGGTCCGGAGACTGTTCACGTCACGTCTGCCGGACCGGAGACTGTTCACGTCACGTCTGCCGGACCGGAGACTGTTCACGTCACGTCTGCCGGACCGGAGACTGTTCACGTCACGTCTGCCGATCCAGAGACTAGAGACTGTTCACGTCACGTCTGCCGGTCCGGAGACTGTTCACGTCACGTCTGCCGGACCGGAGACTGTTCACGTCACGTCTGCCGATCCAGAGACTAGAGACTGTTCACGTCACGTCTGCCGGTCCGGAGACTGTTCACGTCACGTCTGCCGATCCAGAGACTGTTCACGTCACGTCTACCGATCCAGAGACTGTTCACGTCACGTCTACCGATCCAGAGACTGTTCACGCCACGTCTGCCGATCCAGAGACTAGAGACTGTTCACGTCACGTCTGCCGGTCCGGAGACTGTTCACGTCACGTCTGCCGGACCGGAGACTGTTCACGTCACGTCTGCCGGACCGGAGACTGTTCACGTCACGTCTGCCGATCCAGAGACTAGAGACTGTTCACGTCACGTCTGCCGGTCCGGAGACTGTTCACGTCACGTCTGCCGGACCGGAGACTGTTCACGTCACGTCTGCCGGTCCAGAGACTGTTCACGTCACGTCTGCCGATCCAGAGACTGTTCACGTCACGTCTACCGATCCAGAGACTGTTCACGTCACGTCTACCGATCCAGAGACTGTTCACGCCACGTCTGCTGATCCAGAGACTAGAGACTGTTCACGTCACGTCTGCCGGTCCGGAGACTGTTCACGTCACGTCTGCCGGTCCGGAGACTGTTCACGTCACGTCTGCCGGTCCGGAGACTGTTCACGTCACGTCTGCCGGTCCAGAGACTGTTCACGTCACGTCTGCCGGTCCGGAGACTGTTCACGTCACGTCTGCCGGACCAGAGACTGTTCACGTCACGTCTGCCGGTCCGGAGACTGTTCACGTCCTGGAGGCCGTCCCCGAGCAACCTGATCTGCCAGCCCCGCCCGAGCTGCTCACCCTGTCGCCTGAGCCGGTGTCTGATTCTGTGCCTGAGCCAGCGTCTGTTTCTGTGCCTGAGCCGGTGGATGCTCCGTTGACTGTTCCTGTGCCTGAGCCAGCGTCTGTTCCTGTGCCTGAGCCGGTGGATGCTCCGGTGTCGGTTCCTGTGCCTGAGCCAGCGTCTGTTCCTGTGCCTGGGCCGGTGGATGCTCCGGTGACTGTTCCTGTGCCTGAACCGGTGTCAGTTTCTAGTCCTGAGCCTGGGTCTGTTCCTGAGATACTGATGTCTGTTCCTGAGTGGATGCCTGTTCCTGTTCCATGGCCGCCCGAAGGGTCCTCTCCGCCGTGGCCGACCGAAGGGTTGTCTGCTTCGCTCTGGCCGACGGCTAAGTCGTCACCCCTTGTTCCGGTTCCCCTTCATGGACCTGGACCCCTATCCCTCCCCGGATCCTCCACCATTCCACCTTCCTCCTGGACTCTTGTTTTGTTTTGTTTTCTGACGTGGAGAGTCTGGTAGCCGCTCCGTAGAGGGAGGGTTATGTCACAGTGTCTAGTTGGTGTTCCCTTGTTGTCCACTTGAGGTCTCTTGTCCCTTACTGTCACTATTTCAGTATGAACTACAAGTCCCATCTTCCTGTGTTGTCACTGATTGTTCACTGTCCTCAGCTGTTTCTCGTCACCTTGTTTGTATATGTGTATTTCTACCCTGTCTGGTTCAGTGCTGTGCATGGAGTCCTTGTATTATGTCCCCACACTTCCGTAATCTGTTCTGCCTTGTTTCTCGTGTGTTTCTTATGTTTTTGGATTGCCTTATTGGACTTTTGACCCTGGCCTGGACTGTTTGTGAGTACGGATTACCCCTTAATAAATATTGCTTTTGGATCTCTCATTTTCTGTGTGTGTGTCGTGACAGGTGCGGCACGCAGGTGATGCTCATTATCAATCGCCCTTCTCTCACGGGCTTCGGCCCTGCCCAGCTTGCCACAATGTTATTTGTAGTAAAACCATATTAACCACATTTCCATAATGGCTTTACTGAAGTAACCTTAGTTCAAGTATGATATTTGTTTTAAAACCATAGTAATAATATGGAAAACCCAAGGTTAGACTGAAAGCATGGTTAATTTGTGGAATGTATACCATGGGCCAAAAACCTGTTTTACTACAGTACACGAAACCACTGTTATGTTTTGTAAAGGTATACTCAAGGAAACAATATATACATATTTTAAGAAGGCATGAAACAAAAATTCAACTTCTATATTTTGTAAATGCATGTTACTGACCTTATAATTTTTCATTTAAGTACCTCGACCTTCTCTCTGGTGACGCATGTCGGACTTCTCCAATCATTTAGTCTGCTTAAACCCACCCCCTTTCTCACAATTGACTAAGCTCACATTTTGATCAACCTCCATCCAACCAACAATCCATTGAACCCTGTCCTGTCCTACAGGTTATCAGATTACTGATATAATACATCTATAGCACTTCCTAAAGCAGTTCCATCTACCCATGTTTAAACCCCCTAGTTTACACAGATTTCCCAACCAAAATCAGTACAAACAAATTGATACATACTCCATCTGGTGCTGTGCATAAACTTCAAGGTAGAGACACTTTATGTCTCCTGGCCGATGCATTTAAAATTAGGGCTCACAACTCTCAATACTCCACAACAAAGAGTCTGGAGTGTTGAGGCTGAAATAAACTTGGGTCTATAGGAGAATTAACAGACCAGGTCACCTTTATGCTTATTAAATATGATGGACCAGCAGGGCTCTGGCCCAGCATGAGATATTCATTAATGCAGCAAGATCCTGGTAATGTCTGTCCGTTGATTTTTGATTCCACAGTAGACCAAGTCAGAGAGCTGGGGGTCTCCTCCTGACTGAGGACACAAAGAGGACAGCAATAGGGTCATGTGCTGC